AGAAGTGTGCCACCAAAGCTGAGTTCAAAACTTTTCCTCAAGGGAAACAAACTCAGAGAAGCATTTAAAATGTCAGTTTTTCTTATTCAGCCATCTGAGTAAGGTGTCAAAGTCTCTTGGGATTCACACTAGACCGGGGATACCATTAAAATCTGTTTCACTAGCACTCGACGAAGTGCCAGTAGGTGATTGGGGGAAAAATGAGACAGATGAACAGTCTAGTGAAATTAGATACTAAGCAATGATTTCATTCCAATGTAATAAAGCTTTTATAAAATGCTGTAGAAGTGTGCTCAAAGTGCTTTGGGGACTAATATGCAAAGGATTCTCCATAGTCACTCTCCCGAACAATGAGTATCAGAATGATTGGCTCTTCTAGTTTATTATAGGCTTTTTATTTTTCCAAGTTCTTTATTTTATACATTTCCTTAGCCACCATAGCCACCATAGGACCAAAGACAGGGTGTTGTATATAGTCAGTGTTTAATAAATGATTGTCTAGTTGACTTGAATCACATATGAGCTCCCATATCTGGATCCTATTATGAAATAAATACTGAAACATACAGCAAAATGAACAAGCTCTATTGATCTCTTAATTTTCTCCAAAACTCTATTTTGGGGAAAGGAGTTGTCTGTAGCCTGGTACTCAGGAACTCAACTTTTTACCCTCTTTTGAAGTTGAAGTTTAAGAGTCAGTATCAGGCATGTTCAACATAGTTAAGTGAGCTAGAATCAGCGTCAGAGTCCTGAATGTTCTCTGTCTACGTGTTTTTGTCTTCACAAAGTATTGTCCGACCTTCCCACCATACACAGTGCTCCACTCCCTGCGCAAGTTGATTGTAGGAAAGAGCTAATGTCACATGGATGTTGGCACATGTTAGTGTGTGACTTACCCTAATAGAATTTTAACTTTGAGCTTTATTTTTAGTCAAAGGATGAATGACTTTGTCCTAAACAGTTGGGGCTTTACTTTGCAAATGAGTGGTGGTATTTTTCCCTTGGGGAGTACACTGTTACTATTGTTCCTAATCTCAGGATGCAAACAGCTGTGTGCTGAGCCCACATGTAAGCTAAAATAATTAGAAAACATTCACCTTGATTACCGTGTTCATAACTAGTGCTACACACACCATGCACACATACCACACACCACATACACTACACATACCCCACATATACCACACACACCATATACCTCACACCCCCTCACACAAACCACACACTACATAACCAAACATACATACATACATACCCCACACATACACCTCACACACGCCACACACACATACATACCACTCACCCCATTTACCACAAACACAGAACGCACACCTCACATACACCACACCCACCACATACCACATATACCACACGCCACACCACACACACACCACACCACATACATATATCACACAAAAACACACATCACATACACCAAACACACCATATACTCATACCCTCCACACACTACCCACTACTCACTAAATATACCCCCACACACTGCCATACATACTATACACATGCACGCTACACACACACACACACACACACACACACACATACAATGCATTCATTTATTCAGCCAATATTTATTAAGTGCCTATTTTGTACTAAACACAATCTTAGATGCTGAAAATACAAAGATGAATAAAATATAGTTTTTATACTCAAGGATATCGAAATCTAACAAGAGAGGAAAATGTAGATTTTTTTCCAAAGTATTTATTGTACTGTGTTGTAATTTCTTGTTCTCTCCTCTGTATTGCTCCTGGGACCATAGGGTCCCCTCCACCCTGTTCACTGTTGTCCCCCTGGCATCCAGCCCTCTGCCTACATAGTCAATAAACACTTACTGAAATGAGAGAGTAAGTAAGTAAACTATATAAATGTAATAAAACTATATAAATAATTACAACAATAATACAAGTGTGTGTGTCACACCAGCTACGTGAACATGCTGCTTCAGGAGTGCAGGTGTGGGGAGAGGCCCTGGCAAGGGAGCATCATGGGGATGAAGCAGAGTGCGGAGCCAGGAGGAGCCATCTGGGTTTGGCGGTTAGGCAATGTTTACAGTGACTCTTCAAAGACAAGCAGTACATTTGGAGAGGAGTTGCAAGCTGGGTTGTTAGGGGGTAAGGAATGAATGGGAAGTGGATAAACGGACTGACTTGAGTTGAGGAATGAGATAATAAATCCACAGAGTGGAGGCAGAGCCTTTTCACACATTAGAAGAGAGGCAGCCTCCTTCCATGTTCTCCATCTGATGCCGTCACCCCGTGTCGAAGGTGGTATTTCTCTACATGTGCAACAGAGATGTCTTTACGTGTGAGTCAGTTTCCTGTTATTTTCAAATGATTATTTTTAAAACTTGGATAACTGTGTGGGTCAGGGACAGTCCTAGGGAAAGTGGTTATATTAGAAAACTTTCCTGGTGAATCACCTCCTGGTTATTTAAAATCACTTCCTTAGATATTCACTGGCTGTCCGGTTTGGATCCATCAGCCCTTTTCTCCAAAAGCAGCAACTCAAGGACCAACCTTTTCTCATTCCTTTACCTGAACCAAAATATCTTCTTCTTTCATGATGTTAAGTCTTTGGCCGTCTAATCTGATAAAATAATACAAAAAAAGTATAGAATATTGTCCGATTATCCCAACTTTTCTTATCCTCATTCTTGGTGGTCCAAAGTAGAATGCTGCCCACTGCTCTGTTTAAAATCAGACACTCCCCTAGATCCTTCTGCCTCATGCAAGTGAAACATGTAATTTAAGATAGTCTGAAAAAGAATTTTAAATTAGAAAGTGAGATTTTTCTCTCTTCTTCCATTTAAACTCACTGCTACTTTCCCCTTAGCCAGAAAGTTGACATTATAAATGTTATCACATTTACACATATTATAAGCCTAGAAATTATATCATCTCAGGCCAAAAGTGGATGTTGAGACTCTGATATATTGTCTTTCTACCCTTGGTCCTTTTCCCAAGACCTCTGGAACTAAATACACTCTGGTTGCAGGTGCCTATTAACGGGAGCTGACCTTATTCTTCCCTTGAGTGGGAAGGAAGGATGAAGCCAGAATTAGGACTAATGAGTTGGGATTGGGTGGACAGAATGCATACCCCACCCCTAGGCATTGCACCCTCACAAGAATGGGCCATAAATGTGGTGTGGAGGCTTGGGAAGGCATCTGTGAGAATAACTCTGGGAGAAGATAAAATAAGGATGACCGATTATGGAAGGTGCTAATACTCTGAAGAGGTTGCGGGAGAATTCTAAAAGAGACATTAATTTTATATTAAAGGTTTCTTCCTACTTAAAATATGTATACTTAAATAAATTTATCTAAAGTATAATTTTTAAAGGACAAATGGCAATCAGAAAAGCACAGGTAAGTTGGTTTTATCTTTTACAAGACATTGCAAACAAGAGAGTCATTTTTTAGATTTCAAGTTTAAAATGGAACATTATGATGTATGTCCTGTTTCTGTGAAACGCCATGTGTTCATTCACAGCATGGGCAAGGCCAAATGCCTCCAAGAGGTTCAATTTTCATATGAAAGTGTCAACAGTTCTCTGCTGAGTCAAGGATGTTAGTTGCTTGAGTCAAAATATAAACCTAGGTTTCAAGGATTGAGTAAGCTTTGCAAGGTTAAAATTATTGGCTTTTCTTATATTAATAT